GGTCAAAGTGCAACGATTGGTGTAGACTTCATGATAAAAACAGTAAAAGTCGATAACGACAAGATAAAGGTGTGCTTTTTTCAAAGTTCACGGTCTAGAATGCTTAACAAACAATTCTTATCTGTGAGGAGTACTTTCAGTAACGAGTATTTATAGTATCTCGGTTTTTTTTACCTATTTGAACTGGTAATCTGTCGTTCAAGTTCTCTGCTATGGGATTGTGATGTACTCTCTGTGAGTGTGCATGAATAATTTGCGAATTCTTTGCCCTCATTCCCTTCCGGAATTCAAACATCACACCACTGCTTGGCGCTCGTCCAATATGGTTGGACGTTTTGGTGCACTCGCTGGATGACCCGATTTTGCGTTAGAAGCCTATTGAAGCTATTATAGTCACAAGCATCGTTTGATTTTCAAAGTGTTGGCAACCTCTTACTACCTAAAAGCGCAAAGGGACCATGTGACTACTATGTGTTTTTGGCCCAACGAGTAGCTGCGACGTCGAGGAGCTACTGTGAGGGCAACCTCCTGCCGTTGGTGAGAAATCTGCAAAATACGCCCTCGGCAAACTTCCTCCTAGTGTGTACCCCGCTCCTTGAAATTCCACAGTTTTCCCTAAAATAACTGCCGTACCCCACCGTTGAGTGGGTGGAGGAAGAAGGACACATAGCGCCCTTGAAAGAGAAAAAAAAGAAGAGAAGTTAATAACCGAAAACATTTTTCTCAAAGGCAAATACCATCCTCTGTCTCCAGCGACCAAATATGACCACCCTCGCTTGGTCGCTTGGAATCCGGACGATGTGCCCTGGCTAGGACACATCTGCTCCTCCTATAGCAACGAGGGTTACTGTGGTGGTTACCAGTGCCTTTGCTGTCCTGAACCACAACGCAGAATGTGTTGCACTCCTTATGTGCTTATTGTCCGTTACTTTATGACTTAAGTTTGCCTTTTCTACAAATCTGGAGCTTTTCTTTTCTTCATAATTCAGAATTACAATAATTCATGTGGGAACGACAAGGCTCTATGTCTTCCCATAACTTCTTACTTAAAATTTCCTTTCAGTTACAAATCTGGGATACGGCTGGACAAGAACGCTTCCGATCGATCACTCAGAGTTATTATCGCAGTGCTCATGCTATTGTACTAGTTTATGATGTTGCTAATCAGCCATCTTTCGACTGTCTACCTGAATGGTTGGCTGAGATAGAATCTTATGCTAATAGGAAAGTACTTCAAAATTTTAGTTGGTGAGTTTTCTTAATTTTTTACAGCTACCGTGAAGTGAGGTATTGTATTGGCAGTTTGCGCCCTTCACGCTCTGCGAAGGTCAAATTCCAAATCGATTCCCTTCAAGGCCAACCGAGCCTTTCGTCCCTACTTTGCACCAGACATATCTGTTTTGAAAACACTGATCTGAACACCAGGTTAACCACAATTATGGGCCAAATCGCTTTCAAAAAGGCGATTATCCGAGGGGAGTCGAATGCATTGTTCATCCCGAAGAGGAACAATGAACACTAGAAGCGTTATCGTTTATCGTAAAGTGAGCCGCATGGGATGTAATCCTCGGAAACACTTAACATAACTTAGTCGGGGGAGGGGGGTGAGGCGGAACGATCAGCGGATTAAATCTTTTGCAACCTGATGTCGGCATCGTTGGATGTACTTTGGGTGCAAATGAAGGAACGGGCTTCTTGAACATATACAGCGTGCTGTCAGTTGCTCAAACACTCACGATGGCAATATTTTCAGGAAATAAAGTAGATAAAGGCGATGAACGTGAAGTCCCAGAGCGAGTAGGTGTGGATTTTTCTGAAGTCAACGGTTTTGACTATTTTCTCGAAACATCAGCCTTAGATGCTACAAATGTTGACAATCTCTTCGAGCATGTCGCTCGAAGGTTGACCAATTCCATGAAGGCCACTGATCAGAGGTTAGTATTTTACAAGTTCTCCATGGATGATGTTGTCTTATCTGTCTCTGACCGGTTCCGTCTATTGCTCTTTTATTGTCTGTTTCTCATTAGGCGGCTTTCTACTTCGTGTTAGCCTTCTAAACATGCAGCAGCGTTTCTTTGCTAGTTGTTTAAGGCTGGCGTATGCTCGAAATGCTCAGTACGGTAACGCAAAGTATGAATGCCTCTTACTTTTCTCTTGATATCCAGCATTATTTTTCGTATATTTAGCCCAACCTGAAACTACGGGACAGACTAGCACAGGAATGTCGGACATTTACCCGACTGTGCTCCAGTCTATGAAATTCTAGCCAGATTTTGATCGAACTTTTTGATTTTGATCGATCTTCGGGACAGATTTGGACAAAATGTCATCGCTTGCAATAGTTTGGTTTTCTAAACCCCAACAGCGTAGCGAAGACACTTGTTGCGTAGATAAGATTATGCGCGTCAAAACAGTTGTGTAGCGCCGGCGACTTCGGCAGCATGCCATGCGTTTTTGTTGCGAACATATAAGGCATTTCTAATCAGGGGTCGATCTACTGCAGAGACAGAATTCTAGCCAGATCTTTGTCCATCAAAAATTTCCGTCAAAATCGGTCTGCATTTTGAAAATGGGCAATAAAGGGTTAGCAATGCCAAAATACTATCATTTTTTGTAAACAAACCCGCCATTACTCCTTTCTTTGGATCTGGGCAAACCTTCTCATAAGCTGAAGAAAATTTCCCATATGTAGTGGAACTTCTTCTGTCGAAGGGAGGGCAATTGCATTATTCAACACCATAATATTGTTAATCATCTTCTGATTAGTCAACATTTTACAGTAGTTTCCTTGGTGGTTAGAGGGGGGGGGCTGGTAGGAACTCTTGGTATCATTTTGCCTCGTTGGAATTCTCTCAGTATTTGTGTAGAATGAGGATCTTCCAACCTTTTTGAGCATTCAGTTCATAATTTTCTGAAATAAATTTCTATTACAGATACAGTAACTACAAGGCCAATTATGTTACTGGAACGCAGCCAGTTAATATTATAGAAAGAGCCCAAAATACTGTCAATTCGTGCTGCGGAAGAACATAAGTAGCTCATAGTAGTATTCTCATAATAGTACAATTCACTTAAGTTTTTGAATTTTCTGCAAATAACGCTGCATTCTTTCCATGTTTTTATGAGACCAATGTTCCACGCAGCTACATAGGTGACTTATACTATCTGGGCCGCGTGCATTTCCTTAGCACGGTCTATGAGGGTTTTGTCATTGCATTAATTTTTATGTGCCGGTATTTTCTGTGATACACCTCTTGAGATATGATGAGATTTTCATTTTGTTAGTATTTTTTAGACAAGTTTCAGAGATTTGAGCTGTTTTTATTACTTTCGTAATAACAAATTCGCCTTGAATTTGTCTAACTTTCTGTTCTTATGTTCGATATTGTGGCTTACCACTGCTCATCCGGTGTGCATGCTTTTATCAGTATTTCGATGTATGTTCGTTTTATTTCTCACCAGGATAGTCAAGTTTTTATTTTTAGTCCAATTTGTACTTATGTTCTGATACATGTTGACCGATAAATCACTTTCACAGAAGTTTTCATGAGTGTAGCACAAGCGTCGAGTGCGCTGGACATTTTTTGTATTTGATTTTCGATACTTCGTATTTTTAGCTAGTTTCCCTTGAACATCTTGAATGTGCTGATTCAATGGTTTTGGAAAGGTTTTAGCAGAAACATCCGCGAGTTGACCGCGCGAAGCAATTGCGTCGAACGACTGTGGCCGGAGGCGCCACGTTGGGAATAGAAGGTTTTCCATCACTTAAGATGTGTTTATTGCTGAACAGGACTGTACATCAGCACAGGATAGCTCCGCCCACTTTCATAGGATTTGATGCAAAATTCGACTCTTCGCTACTTTTTTTACAATGTGGTTGTTTTCTGTCATCTCTTCATGCGACAAAGGTACTCATAGACGCATTTATGCAGCGGCACATTAGGCTCCGCCTCTATTCACGCTCACTTTTGCAGCTTTTTGCAAAATTTCGATATTCTCTCAAAATTTTTGCATTTTTGGACCGCCACATTAAGCCCGCCCACTTCAGAGGAGCCCTGCCCAGTTCTGAAAAATGGTGCAGATCGGCGGAATAGAGACTCAGCTTGCATGCTTGGATCTCGCTCGTCACTCACTTGGAACGCAAAATCAGGCAAAGTTTATTCCGAGTGATTAGCGAGACTCTAGACGCTGAGACTCTATCCCGCCGATTTGTACCATTTTTCGGAGTGGGCGCAGCTTCCCATAATGGCAGGGCTTAACGTAGCGGTCCAAACATGCAAAAATTTTGAAAGAATATCAGAATTCTGCGAAAGGCTGCAAACACGGGCGTCGCTAAGGGGAGGGGGAGGCGGCGGAGCCTAATGTGCCCCTGGATAGGTGCGCGTCTACGGGAACCTTCGTTGTATGAAGAGAAAAAAAAGCGCAAAAACGTTGCAAAACAAAATTTGAAAAGTCCGACCACACTGAGATGTGGGCGTGGCCGTGGTAGGGGCTTGCAGTAGCGTCTGGTGAGGCATTCGTAACAAAGTCTTGAATTTGGCTTGTAAAGTCGTAAATTCAAAGTAAAAATAGCATATATTTGTCCCGCTGGTTTGAAAATAGTATTGTTAGCATGAAGCTAGGTATGAACTTGCTCCTCCAGCCAACTGCTACCTACTTATTCCCGCTGTGAATGAGCTGAACTTAGAGACAAGCCCAGAAGATAGGTCAGAAGATCCTCCATTCCAAATGAGGTCAGAAGATCCTCCATTCCAAATGTGATTGAAATACTCGTTACATCTTTTCGCGGACTAGCGGTGGAGTGCCCTGGTCGCAGCCGCTCGACACACCCGCGCGGTCAAGTTGCGAAGCATGAACATGTTCGGATAGGTGACGTATTCTCTATTTTTTACTCGCTCGTTCCCTTAGTTCCACAAAAGAGCTGAAGACCTTGCTAGATGCTCGTTTATTCGTTTTTATTCGTTTTAAAGAGTTTTATCATACTTTTTTTGCAGAAACTCATCACATTACGGAGGGAACAGTTTATTCAATCAGTATTCCTTACTGTGCGTATCCTCTACTGAGACTGTCGCTAACGCGATCATGAAGACAACTACAATTGTGAGTTTCCACTCCTTCAGTTCTGATTCTTAGCACAGTTGTGCTCAACACTACTCCCAAACAACTCATCAGATCTAGTTCTTCTGCTGTAAGTGACATTTTTTGCCTGAGGTCCAAGCCAATGATTTCAGCATTGTTTTGTAATTTCAATTAGTGGAGGTTGTTGTTTCTACTTACGCGCTGCTCCCTAATGCAAATGTGCTGCTAGACCTGTTACTCCACTAATCTGATGCATTAATGTATTGCAAAGACGGTGGAGAGGCAGAATAGATGTGGCAAAATAGGGCGAAGTTAGTCATTCGAAAGACGGCGAAAAATTGTTGACATTACATGGTGGTTACAGCTTCATTTGAGAGGGAGCGATTGTTCAATTTTGAATTTTGCCAAGCTACATGCGTGTCGTTTCTTCGAATTGCTAGTTTCGATATGTTGCAAGTATTTGTGCTAATTAGCTGCTGTAAATTTTACTTTTCTCACTTCGTTTAATCGTTATTCAAGTAAAGCCTCTTCTCGAATCTAGGCAACAGAACGTAACTGGGATATCAATGGTTGAGGTGAAGCAGATTATAGCTGTGGGAGTGTGATACCCAGGTTGTCTATAGCATGTTTTTCCCTCGATGAGCTCACTGCAAATTCGTTATTTCCCTTCGTGTCATGTTGAAGTAGCGCTGAAGTGCATAACTAAGTGAATTCCTGAGAAGTCGAGGCTGTATAGCAGCCAGGGCACGTTGTGCGTTAGGGAAGGAGGACGTGTTTGGTGACTGAAGGAGATGGGTCGCACTTGTCTATCAGAGGGATGTTTTCGGTTTCTAACTTTTCTCCGCTCTCTCTGTCCAAAAAGCGCTATATTATCCCTGTTCGACGTTTTTTTTTGGGGAGGAGGGAGAAATTGGAGAAATTTTTGAAAAAGGACAAGTGTTAGGAGGCCTGGAAAAGTTAAAACGATTGAGGGATGAGGAAGGGGGTCGTACCGGAGGAGGGAGTTTCAGGTAGGTCATCTTTTACAAAAACGGTCCCCACGGCAAGACGTGCCTGATCGCAGTGGCTCAAGCCTTTGACGAAGCCAGGGACCAAATTATACCTTCATTTATGGCTCTCATTATGAGAAATGTCCTTCAACAGCCCAAAGTGATCCACAATATTAGCACTGAAATGACCCGCTCCAATTTTTTTATAGCCGTAGAGTGCAACTTTATCATTTATGATCGGGATGGCAAATATGAGAGCCCACTTTTGTCTGAGTCACTTAGTAAGTCTGTAGTAGTATTTCCTTTCTGAATCATAGTACAGAACCTTATCAGCTTCAGCATACCATGCCGCCCAATCGCTGAGAAAAACGGCCTGCAAACTCTCCTTTCTATGAAGAACCGTTTAGGATAGCCTTTAGGCTTTGCTGTTCTTTCTTAATCGATTCTTTAGTCTGATCT